TGATATAAAAGAAAAACTATTACCATAGTTGTGTCTTAGGATAGAAAAAGTGACAATCGATAATATTCCTTGAAGAAAATTTTTGATCCATATTTATAAATAAAATGTATAACGAAAAATATTTTAATTAAAAATTTTATTGATTAGGTTATTTACTTGATACAATAAAAGATGAAGAAAAAAGAGATAAAAAATGTTTATCACATGAAATTGAACGACTTTTTACAATTCGTACTTGTCAAATAAATCGATGTCAACGTTGTTCAATTGAATCCTATCGTGAAGAAACAAGTAATTATTTGTTTCTTCCAATTCCAACATTGGATAATCAACATGATAATTTAAATTATAATCAATCAGCTACACCTATATCAATATTGAAAAATGGTTTAAAATTTTATGCAGCATCAAATGGAAATTCAACATCAGATGATCAAGCAAAATCAATTGCTACATCTCTTGTTCAATCTAATCCAATAAATCGATCTTCATTACCAAATTTATCTTCAAATTCTTCTGTTCAATCACGTTCTCCACCATCATCCTATATTAATATAACAAATACAATACATAATTCATCAAATCTTCAATTTGTTTTTGATTGTTATTTTCAAAAAGAAGAATTAAAAGATGATAATCAATATCGATGTGAACATTGTCGGTATGTTTTATTACTTTTCTTTAAAAATCAATAAGCTAAACAAAAAAAAACGAAATTTTAATATAGATCACTACAAGATGCTGAACGATATACTATTCTTAAAATAGCACCTGAATATTTAATATTATCTTTAAATCGTTTTGAATATGATAAAAAAACAAATACATTTCGTAAAGTTTTTACTAAAATAAATTATCCTAAAGTACTCAATGTTAATATTAATCCATCACAAAATTCACGAAATAATTCTATTTTAACAAAATATTGTCTTGTTCTTATTATTGTTCATACTGGTTATACATTACATGGTGGTCATTATTATGTATATGCTAGAGAAATAAAACCATTATTAACAAAACTAAATAATAATGAACAAGAAGATTATTTTTCAAATGATGAATGGTTTTTATTAAATGATGATCTTGTACAAATGTCTTCTTATGAAGCAATGATTGAAAATTGTGCTCAATATACATCAGCTACACCTTATATTCTCTTCTATAAACGTATTGATAAACAACGTATTGAAGAAATGGAAAAAACTAAACAAATACATGTACATAAAAGTCTTATGGAACAAATTCATGAAGATAATTTAATTTATGAACATGAATGAAAAAAAACAATCAATATTATTTGTTTTATTTTTATTATTATGTTAGTGTCTATTTGAGAATATTTTGATTTTCTTATCATAGACAAGAAATAAATTGATATATGATAAGATTTTCAAATTGAAATAACAATCATTTATATCTAATATCAGATTATTTTGTGGTGTGCAGGCCGATGGAAATAGCACCGCAGACGAGTGTAAACGATATAAAACAGTGAAAATAGTAGGAGAAATGACAAATGCTTTCTAGCAAACAGTCGAAGTGATGGATTGCGACAAAATTTGTGCACTAAAATGTCGTTTTAGATTGTTTAAGACACTATTTCTGACGGTCGCAATGATCATTCTAGGTCTCTCGCAGAACATATTAGTATTAAGGGGAACCCCTCCCTCAGAAAATTGATTTTTTTTGAAAAAAATCGATTTTTGAGATAAGCACATATGCTGAAAGCCCAAAGTGTCCTCTTTCAGATTATGTATGATTTGTTGCACTTTCAATGGTTTTGGGCTGTGAAAATAGCGG